GTGGCAATCACGCTATCTGGGTTCGAACATGATAAATTGGTGTTTTCAAGATAATATAGGGGGATTTGCATTTGCTAGCTACTTCTGAAACCATGGTTTGCTGTTCCAATACCACAAACAACATTGAAAAGCACAAAACAGGATATCTCATCTCAGAATCAGATGAAAATCAAACAAAACCTCAAACCAGATACACTGTCAACACCAAATCAAACTCCACCAAATGGATCCTATTAGAAGCGAGTGACAACAATTTACAGCATTCAATCGCTGATTAAGGGGTAAATTGTTTTCTTGTTGCTGGTTTAAAAAAGTAAATCAAAATCATCTTGTTCGAAATGTTTCTTAAAACAAAAACACTATATATATATATATATGTGTGTTTTTGATTGTGTGTATTTTTTGTTTTAAAACCAAAAACATGTTACTTGAATCTGATTTCAAAAACATATTTTCATCTGATTATTCAACATCATGTTTTATAAATCATATAATTTCTATGCTAAAAAATGTGTTTGTTTTAAAATCAATATTTTATTGGTTCCAAAAGTATGTATTATATTCTCATGTAGAACACCCCCATTTCAAACACCTTTTGAGTTATTTAACAGAATAATCACCCCTTTCACATGATTAGAGTGAAATAACGCTATACAGTTTGTGTCTTTTGATCAACATTTGTAGTTCATCTCATCTACAATCCTGCAACCCTTGCCTGAACTGAACAATAAGCATGTATGCAACCTGAAGGCCATACAATCATTATATAGATTAATAGATAGATAGATAGAAGAATGAATGAAAAAATAGCATGATTGTAGCTATCAAAGAATAGTCCAATTGAAATACATGGAGCAATATAATTCTTAAAAGGATACCTTTTCTTTAGGTAACCTCTATTCTTAGGCTGTGTTTGGTTTGAAGGAAAAAGTAGGAAAAAAAAAGGAAAGGTAGAAAAACCTTAACAAACCTTGTATGTGTTTCCCTACCTTTTCCTTCAAACCAAATATAGCTTTAATGATAAAATTGAAAATACTAATAAGTTATATCATGTATAAAACAGTTGTGCTAGCCAAGTTCTTGAAAATATAAAAGTGATATTTGAACCAATGTTGTCAAACTTAGACTAGACAAAGACAGCGAAATTGATAATTTGGTGACCTTTCTAGGTTGTGGTTAATAGATAGTTTTGATGGTTTATTTATTTATTTATTTATTTTAATTTGGGCGAATTAACTACGAGTGCAACTTGGGTAGGCTCAATGCATTACGTTTGGATTTTTTATCCTCAAGCTGGATCTGAGCCCAAACTTTGGGTTTTTATTTTCAGGGTAGATCCATACCTAATTGTTAGGTAACCTGAGCATAGCACCGAATACTGATGAAGGGTGATTTGGCCCGACCTAATAAAAAGGGACACGTGGACACGACCTAATCGAGAGGTGACAACTCAGCCTAACATGACCAATCCGTAGCAGATCAAGCTCGGGTACCCAACCACCCCGGGCTAAAGTAACCTCGGGACAAAGTCACCTTGGGACGAGATCGCCTCAATATCATATCGCAACAAGAACACCTCGATGCCAAGGCACTACGTGGTGATCCCAAGAACCCCTCCAACGGATCCCGAGCCTCACGGGATCACACCGCATAACAGCTAGCATTATCTCCCCGACCGATTCGGGCGGAATTGATGAACCTTATTGGTTGGCAACATTATCTTCCAACTAACGCGGAAACGGATCCTATCGTGACGATGATCCGGAAACCAATCCGCAAAACCCGCGAGGACTTGACTATATAAAGGCTCTACCCTCGGTGGTTCAAGGTACGTGTGATTTTCCTGCTCTCTAGCTCTCTACTTTCTAAAGCAATTCTCAGCTCGCTATCAGTTTACTGACTTAAGCATCGGAGCGACATCGCCGGGCTAGCAACCCCGGGTTCTCTGATATTCTTGCAGATCCAGCCCGCCGTCCGTTTGGAAGCCAAATCACCTCCAACAGGGAGCAGTTAGATCGCGCAATATCATTTGGCGTCGTCTGTGGGAATCAAACCCACGACCACGTGGTTAAAAGCCATGTTCAAGAATAAAAGGTAACCTGAGATTCAATTATGATATTAAAAAAATTTATATCCAATGAAACCGTGCCAAATTACCAATCAAATGGATTTTCATTCAAATTCACCGAGGGTGTTGATTGGTTCATCACACTCACAATATTTGCGGTGTTTAATTATGTTAGAAGCGTATTGTAACCAAGGATTAAAGTATCAGTATCGGGTATTGTATCAGACAACTTGAATATGGATACGGATATAGATACGTCTTGAGAAACGCATGGATATGAACGAAAAAATATAGAAACACTTGGATACATTAAGAAAATGCACACGAATTCCATAAATATATTAATAGCATTAAGTTTAATATCAAAACAACTATACATAATATATATACATAGGAATTGTATATTTAAATGATATATATATGAAGAAATATATTATAATTAATATAGCGGGACATGTAGATATTATAAAATTTTATAAATAATGCATCAATCAAGAGTTCAAGGCAAATATTATATAGATTTTTATAAATTAATATACGCAAAAAGCCAATATTATTTTATTATCTATTAAAGTGTAAGGCATAAAGCATATGCAACTATTATATTTGAATTATTATATTATTTTTTCTATTTTTTTATTTTTATTTTTTAACTTTAACAAAAAAATTCAACTAAAAAAATTAATTCTTAAATATTTGATAAATAATATTTATATTTTTGTAAACAATAAATATGTTATTATAAAATTTAAATTAAAATATTAATTAATAATTTATAAAAATATATAATCTTAACTTAAAATATATTAAATATATTAAAATTTTTAAAATGCATATCATATGAAAATTCATAAATTTTAATTACTAAAATAAAATTTCTGTTATTAATACTTTATTTTTATAAAATTTCGAAGTTAAAAATTATTTTTAATATAAAATGTAGATTAATGGACTTGATAGATTAAATTTATATTATATTTTCAAATACTTTGTAAACAATACTTTTATTTTTGTAAATAATAAATACATTGTTATTTAATGCAAATTAAAATATTAGTTAATAATTTATAAAAAATTAAGATATATATCATATGCAAATTTATAAAATTTAAGTATTAAAATAATTATTCTATTATGAATATTTTATTTGTATACATTTTTAAAATTAAAATTCATTTTTGACATATATATATGTGGATTTTATAAATTATTTATTCTCTTTATTTATAGAATGCTAATTTTGAATATTGTTCTTTTTAATTTATAGTTGAAGTTTTTGAAAATAAATATATGTTGTTTTTTGTTTGCATGTAAATATTAAGTTTAATAAAATATATTTTATTACACTTACTAACATGAATTAATAAATGGCTTTGTGGTTAATGTGCGCCTGAACATTAGGCACGCATTGACTGGTGTGGGTCCGAGTCTTGTCGCTTTTGTTTTTTATTGTGAGACGCCACGCCGAAATTGTAGGTACATAGTGGTCACTAAGACCATTAAAATACAAAGGGTGTTAAACTAACGCTATGTGGATGCCTGCGATGAATACGTAAACCATCACACATTTACGATAAGTTCATCGCAGATCTGCGATTGCGATGAACTCATACCCAGGACAATTTGCAATGAACTTCATCTAGTGCGAATCTACGATAAAGCTAAGACACATGCGGGTTTGCGATGAACCCTGGGCACACGCAGATTTATGATGAACCCAAACACATGCAGAGTTGCGATGAACTCGACACCATTACAAGAGTCGCATAATCACGGTAGATCAGGAATAAATGCCTATTACACGTACGTCTTTTAAATTACGCATGTGGGTATGCACGCCAAACGATGATATCACCCGCGCCACGTCGGAATACTAGGGTCACATATGGAGAGAATCTGGGATAGATATCATTCTCTAATAATGATCTCTTAATAGTTAAACAAAATGAAAGATCTCCTTTCCTCTTTCCTAACAGAAAATATCCCATTTCCTAACAAGAAAGAACTTCTTCCTTAGTAATCTTAGCTTTCTCTCTATAAAAGGGGGAGAGCAATTCCTCCCAAAGGGGAGACAAGACAACATAATACAACCTAAACCTAGGGTTTCTAAAAAAGAATCAACTCCCCTCTCTCTTCTCTTTTCCTCTTTCCCCACATCCTTTCTCTTTCTTGTAGTCATCTCCGGACCTTTGGAGACTAACCAACCTCTATCTTACCATAATGACTACAGAAAACAATGGTTGATACGCTTTAGTATCGGCGTGTATCAACTGATACTATGCGATATACACCGATACAATGGTATATCAAACTGATATATAATTAACAGGAATACACTACAATCATAAGATATTAATACAGTCCGATACCGATAAGATGCGCCCTCTATAATATTTAGTTGGGGCAGAACGGAAGTCCGATTGGTCAAAGTCTTCACGGTACCATGTCTTCCCGGAGTCGTAAATTTTTCGTATAAAAAGAAAAAGAAAAGTAAAGATAAAAGATTTCCTAGATGGCGGCTGGCGGGGGGGATGGCCTCCCTTGGAATTTTCGGATTTGGGAAAGAAAAGAAGTGTCGTGGTGGTCGTACTTGTTAATTAGTCCAAGTCTAAATGTCCAATCCAACTATCACTTTCTGATTGCCTAAATTCCGATATTCCTTTGATACGGATATCCGACTCCGTTTTCTATGGATCGTTTTCCTTCTTTCTCTCTTACATGGGAAAATCTATGCCAGAAAGTATGATATCGGAAGTGCTTTGATCAATCAAAATCCATTCGATTGATTGGTATCATTGTCTTTCTTTTTTTCCAACTGTTACGGTTTACTTTCGCTAACTTTTCAAGGAGGGAATATTCATTTCCACGGTAGATAAATGGCCACGTTGCTCATTTTAGTGCTGGATAGTGGATACGTTGTTAGTGGAGCCTTCCCTGCTTTCCCCTGCATTCTCTTCACTGGAGTCGAGAATGGCCGACAGGCCGAGCCTGTTATCAGAGAGACAACGCTCCTCTCTGACAATGAGATGAGCCCGTCAGCCGTCACGTCAAAACTACCCACTCTATATTTTAATGGTCTTCTCTTCCCTTAAAATGTCGTTGATTTGATCCCTTCTGCAAATGATATCGTTTGACTTCTTTCGCCCACCCCCCTCTTCTCTCTCTGTCCAATCTCAACCACCATCTTTCTTCTTCCTTCTCGTGGAGTTCCTTCTTCAATCTTCCCTATGCATTTCTCCAATTTCGTTTCTTACTAGCGTTTTGTTAGGATTATAGTTTAGCAGAAATGAAGTGCTTCCATTTTTCTAATGGGGAGAAGAGGGAAGACAATGATTGCTCCATCTCTAGGGCTTCTAAGGTTTCTTGGGCTCGCTCCTTCAGTGTTGCTTCCAGTAATGCAGACGTTAGGCGCTCCGAATTCGGCTCGGATTCGAGGGACTTCTCCGGCTCGCTGGGATTCCATGATTTTCTATCTCTAAGGAGAAGTAATGATCTACGAGTCTTTTCCTTCTCTGAGTTGAGAAGGGCTACCAGGGGGTTTAGTCGAGCCTTGATGATTGGAGAGGGAGGATTCGGATGTGTTTATAGAGGGGTTGTTAGTATTTCCGATGATGATCCTGATGCGAAACTGGATGTCGCTGTAAAGCAATTGAACCGGAATGGATTGCAGGCAAGGTCTTCCTTTCTTCTCTCTAACTCTTCTCTGAATTTACTTGGTTATCCATTACGATATTTGGGTGCAAAATGTTCATAACGTAGGTTAACTTTACTCAAGATGGTTTTTAGAGCTAGGAATTGGGTTTAAGTCAAAGTTGAATGGGTAGGATGGATTGGGTTAGGAAATAGGCTTAACTGCAATAAGTGCAAATTTGTCCTAAACCTGTGAAAGGTTTTGAATTAAGGAAAATAGGTTTAGGCTGGTAAATTTCAATTAAATTCTATATCAAGAACTTATCTTGGCATTAAGAGAATGTAGTATTACTTCTAACCAATGATAATCCTTTTATATATTATCTGTGCGCCTGAGATTTATCGTTCCAATTTTAACGGAACTAGAACTGAAAAACGAAATTCTAGCATAAAAGTTTCTGTAAACGGGCCTACGTCCTAATTATGAAGTCTCAAATGCTAGGTTTCAAATCTAGCCACTTTATTAAGTGGTCGTTAAAAGTACTTGTTGCACAAGTACTTCGTACTTATTTTAAAAACCACTTAAAGGCTGTTTAGTGACCGACTTGCCAAATCACTTATTATGTTTTTGAACACTTATTTTGGATGGGGATGTTTGGTAAGCTAGTGCTTATATTGAGACAAATGACAATTTTAGCCCTTACTTCACTCGTACATATATAAAAAACCAGAAAAAAAAACACCAAACATGGAAGGAAGGAGTTGGGCGAACTAACCTCCTTGTCGCCTGTGGCTAGACGGTGAGATTGTCGCCGTTAAACTCTTCCAAAGTGCAGATCTGTGAACACAACAAATAGAGGAGTTTTAAGTTTTAAAAAACCCAAGAAAAATGATTTAATGAAAAGAAAAACTTCAAAAATGGAAGAAAATGGCAAAATGATAGGTCTGCCGGCCATTTTTCCTCACCGCCAATCGTCGCCGGTGGACCTATAACTTGGTGCGCCGCTACCTGGTTCGCTATGTTCGAATGAGAGGAGATGGAGGTAAAATCCTCGTGCGGGGGTATTTTGGGATTAAAAGAAAATACCAGGGACTGGTTCGTCCCATTCTATTGGAGAAGTAATTCTCCAAGAAGTGCTGAAAAAAAAAAGGCAACTTCAAGTCACTTTTTCCCCACTTTTTTCCCAAACACATAAAAGCACTTAATAACCACTTAATGTGTGGTCCCAGCTCTTAAAAGAAATACTTCTTAGAAGTGAAATCAAACAGGGGCTTAGTGTTGGAAGGATAACCTGGGTTATAGTTTATAAATATTAGGAGATATCACATAGATCAATGAAACATGACGTAGAACAGTAGAGTGGAAGAAACACCCAGCACTCCTAGGTGATGTTTGGTACCGTTTACATTTGTTTAGTAAACGTTTATTGATGTTGCCACATAGCCGCCATCTCAGCATTTTCTCTCTCTTGCTCTTCTGCATACATCGAAAATGTAAAAAGTGAACTTTGGTTTATGTGCATGCCAGCCGTTTGTAGAAGTTATTTTTTGAAGCTTCCACAAACGGCCAGGCGTTTATTCACTGTCATGCTGAAGTGGCGCCCAGTTGTCATAAATGGTTGCAATTATTGCATTTCTCGGTTTTACCAGCAAATAAAGTACAAACATTTATTCAATAAACATAAACGGTACCAAACACATACTTAGTCCATATAAGTTTTATTTATTTTGCTTCAATTTGGAACCTTGTACTTTTATTTTGGTTACTTTGGGATGCTTTGCACTATAAATATAATTCAGAATCTCTGGCAATGATGTGTGTTGTCATCAACTCATCATCATCATCTAAGGCTTGTCATTCCATCCTGTTTGGTTCCGGATCCATTATTGGTATGTGGACCCTTAAATCATCTCTCATTACTTCAATCCATGTCCTTTCTAGCTCGCTGCCTTGCTCCTAGTTCTTCTTAATCCTTCAACTTGTAATAGATCACTTCTTATGGTGCATGCCAAACCATCTAAGTCTACTTTCCCAGTTCCCTCATTTTATCACCTTTTGGATCCACTCCTAGGTTCCTTCAAAAAAGTTCATTTCTAATCTTATAACTTCTAGTTTTCTCACTCATCCATCTCAACATTTGTGTTTCTGCCATGATCATCTTTTTAGACATGTTGTTTCTTGATTGCTCTATCTCTGCCTGACAATGTCAATATAAAGATATACAAATTTGGTTGGATATTAACATAGTAAAAAGGCCCCACATGCATGTGTAAGGCTAAAGTAGTAGTGCACAGCAATGGCTGCATGAGAAGAATTTAGACCTAACATATAATGCTTTTTTGTGGATAGGCAAAAGTATAATTTTTCTATATCTATAAGAGAGGGAGAACCCTCAAAAAACATGTAAAATAAGCTATCTGTACATGATAAAATATATAATGTGTTCTTGATAAACTCAGACTAATTTCACTTTTCGTTTTTGTGCTATTTCATTGGATAAAGAAAACATACTGTAAAGTTTTCATGAAAAGTAGAGTCTAGATGGATGAAAAAATTTGTCAAACCTGATCTTGGTCTCTGTCATTTCTGAAGCAGTGCCCTTTCTTGGTGGATTAGCCTGATTTAATGATCAATTATCTATATTTGGTGTACAAGGTTTTATTTTTCAGTGTTGGACAATTAAGGCTGTCAGTGGACTCCAAAAGTCCAATACCCAATTTGACACCAGATCTGATTATCCCGGAGTTGGACCTTAGAACTTGCATCCAATTACTAATTGGATAAGTTATAATCTTATGTATCTATGTAGTATAATTATGTATATAGATAGATATTATATACAATTGTATAAAGTTTATAACTGATGAATTTAATATTTTATATTTATATATTTATATATATATGTATGTATAAGTTAAAGGTAATTATTTTTTAAAACTTTTTTTAACATTTTTGTCATTTTAAGCACAAAAAATTGGATACGGATCAAATCCAAACCTGAATCTGAGTCCAACAATCGGATTTCAGATTGGATTCAGATTCAAAGGTTTATTAATCAGATCGGATGCGGATGTAGCTGAATTCAATCCGATTACAGCCCTATGGACTATGCTAAAACAGGGTGATCTTTGTGTTTTCAGGCCTAACTGGTTTTGTTGACCATTATATATGAGATTTTGGATTCATATTGGTTTGTGCAGACTTGTTATAAAGAGCTTGAGAAAGTTGAGGCGGAGATTGACTCTTAGGTGGACACTGCTTGCTGAGAAATGGGTCTGATAATCTTCAAAGGTTTTTGTATTTTGGTAGGTTGAGGTGACAAGATCTTTAGCTTACACAGTGCCTACTAATTCATCATCTGACAGTCTTTCTAGGAATGAGATGTGTTGACAGGCCTGGCCAGGCCTCCTTTCCTAGCCATGTTTCCATGTTTATGTTTGTGCTTTTTTCAGTTTTTGCTTTTATGGCCTTTCTTGCATTTTCTTGAGGTACCTTTGGTAATGCTCTTCCCTTATCTATCAAAGAGAAAGGTTGTTTTCCTCATGCAAATTGTTCATTCTGATGGTTTCCTTTCAGATCATGGAAACCAAAAGTCATATTTCTCTTGTATATCGTGATTTGCACAAGCTTCTGGGACACTACTGATGTGAAGCAAATTTTGATGTGTTAGAGATTCTCAAACTGTTTGTTTATATTTCATTTGTTAGTATTCAGGGGCACAAGGAGTGGATTACAGAGGTGAACTTTTTAGGTGTAGTAAAGCATCCAAGTCTTGTCAAGTTAGTAGGGTATTGTGCTGAAGATGATGAACGGGGAATTCAACGGCTTCTGGTATATGAACTTATGCCCAATAAAAGCTTGGAAGACCATCTATTGGCTAAGGTGCCATCACCCCTTTCGTGGGATATGAGATTAAGAATTGCTCAGGATGCAGCACGTGGTCTAGCATACCTCCATGAAGAAATGGATTTCCAGGTTTGTATACCATCTATTGCCTTATTTTTTCAGAAACAAAGAGAATATATTAAAATGAATGGAAGAATAGTTTCAGTACAATTTTGTGCCAAGCACCACAAAGCCTATCCCATGCTAGCCACCCCATTTTTGTGCTTTTACATTGACACTTCTTGAGGGACACCCCCCAATACAGCTCACTTTGATTCACCCCTTGTCTTGCTAAGCCATCAACCAGTCCATTAGCTTGATCTTGGAACACATTTGTACCTTGTTCATAACACCATAGCCAACCACTTTACCTTACTCATTATATTATCTATATTTCCAAGAATTGGTGCTGTTTTTCTATAGCTATCCCACAACCCTATGGGAGTCGCCTTCCAAGATTATATTTGTGTACCACAGGGACACCTTTTTAGATTATTGATATGTAAACCTTGGTACAGGACCTAGGAGCATAGTATTTAACCTTTAACTTGATTGACTGGCAGTAAGTTGTGATATTCATCTGTAACTGTGCAGTTAATATTTCGAGATTTTAAAACATCAAACATCCTATTAGATGAGGACTTCAATGCAAAGCTTTCAGACTTTGGATTGGCCAGACAAGGACCAACTGAAGGATTAAGTTATGTTTCAACATCAGTAAGTTTTTTTTTTTTTTTCACTTTTGGTACTTGTACTATAAGTAAAAATATATGCGATATGATTAAACTGATGATGCAGTTCTTAGGGCTGTACCCTGGCTGGGTTAGCCCAGCTTTAGAACAGGGATTGAATTATGAGACCCAAAGTTGAGTTTGGATAATGTTTTTAGTGGAACCCACTTGAGATGCATGCTGTTGCTTTACATATTTAAAATGGATTTCTTTTCTATGTGATAATATGATTTATTAATTTCTTCTTCGTAAGATGGTAAGCTGAAAAAGAGGTCCCCCACCAGGCCTGCTCGGCTGGGGGGGAGGGGGGGATAAAATAATGGTGGTCACCGGGGGGGGGGATAAAATAATGGTGGTCACCGGTACTTGTAAAAAATGGTTTTATAACCAATTGAAGAATGATCACCATCATCATCCAAGCCTTGTCTGAGCTTATATGGAGTTGGGTACACGAATCCTGTTCCACCATTCTGTTCTATTCACTGCCATATCCATCATTCCACTGTTAAGCCATGGGACCTTTAATCATTTCTCGCTACTTTAACTCATGTCCTGTTTTCCGTAGCTCTTCTAACCCTTTCAACTTGTAACGGATTACTTCTTCTTACTGGTTTGTAGATGGGTTTCTCTGCATGTACCCAAACCATTTTAGTCTACTTTTCCTCATTCTAGTTTTTGGACATGTTGTTTCTTGATTACCCAAAGCTCTGCTCCATACAACATTGTTGGCTTTATAACTGTTTTATGAAATTTTCCTTGAGCCTAAGTGGTATTCTCCTATCACATTAGACTCTAGATGCACCCCTCCATTTCCCATTCTGCAAGGCAATAGAAGCTTTTTTTTTAATGAAGAATCATACTCAAAAACTCAAACTACAAGAGTTGTAAAGAACAAACTTCATTTAGACACTCTTAGATAACTCCAAAAAATAAAAATAAAAGGAGAACATAAACATTTATAATGGAACATTTGGCATTTCTATTGTTTTCCTATTCCTGGGAAATAGAAAAATCAACTATTTTAATATTTTCTACTAAGGAATAAAAGAGAACATAAACATTTATAATGGAACATTTGTACTACTCAGGCCAACTGTTTAGCCAAGCAAGGGGCAACGAGGGAACATTTGTATTGGGCTCAGTTGTAATCTTTTTTAAGTGTTTGTAGGTTTGGAGAGGTCGCAGCTCGTCCTTCTCCAAGTGTATCCTGTAAAAGTTGCTTCTGTTTTCTTTCTCTAATAAATTCTTCATTTATCAAAAAAAAAAAAAACATTTATAATGGAACATTACCAATCCATCTTATGTTCCACAGAGAATCTCTAAAGCCACTTAAGGTATGAGGGCCTTGTTCCTCTTTCAAATTTTCAAATTCTTATGCACAGTAATATACATAAGCAGGTTCTATGCCTAAGCTTTTCTATGTTCCATTCAGATTAACTAGTAAAGTGGTGCTGGATGCATTTAGGTCCAAAATAGTTTGTCTCGACTTTGTCCACTTGACCTGGATATGCCTGTCTCTGCATATACCTGACACAATTTTTAAAGAAAATATTTAGCATCTAGAGTAAAATTGTGAATTTTTGTATTCATCTTTTTTTACTTTGGCTCCTTTGAATAGGTTGTGGGTACAGTGGGCTATGCAGCTCCAGAGTACATTCAGATGGGCAGGCTGACTGCAAAGAGTGATGTTTGGAGCTTCGGGGTAGTTCTGTATGAGCTCATGACTGGACGGCGTTCAGTGGACAGAAACCTACCCAAGGGAAAGCAAAAGCTCTTAGAATGGGTAAAACCATATGTTTCTGACTCCAAAAAGTTTCACCTCATAATAGACCCACGGCTTGAAGGACAGTATTGCATAGAATCTGCTCAAAAGCTTGCATCCCTTGCTAACAAGTGTCTAATGAAGCAACCTAAGTCCCGCCCTAAGATGAGTGAGGTTGTTGAAATGTTGGGGCAGATTATTTGTGAGACATCATCACTATCATTGTCAGATTGTGGGGTCTCAGAACCTGTAAAAGAAACTGAAGCTACAAGTGAATATAGTATCACAGATACTAAATCATCAAAACAAGGGAATGGTTACCTGAAGAGGGTTTTTGATTTCAGAGAAATGGTCAGTTTAAGAAACAGATCTGGTGGGAAGTTGGATTGGAGAAATTGGACACCTGGATTGATAAGAACATAGTGAATGATGATAACATTTTAGTGATAAGAACTTAATTCCTTAATAATGGAAAATGCATGCATTCAGAGGCAGCTTCTCCTCATTTTTCACTGAGGTTCCGAGAAGTATGTTGATTAGGAAGGTGCATTTGCTTTTTGAATTGTTTTATCTGCAAAATGTTTTGTAAATATATACCTGTAAATGTTCACTGGTTGTCTATAAAGAAAGAACAAATTAAAGTTGCGCTATTTTTCACCCCGTGTTTTTGTGATGAACTGATGATGCTTATTGGAAAGGTTCATGGTTGAGATATCTAATGTGCATCAGTGGATGGTGGAGGAGCGGATCTTCTTGACTGTAAATTAATCTCTGGCAACTTTTGGGTATCTAAAGGTTATATATGAATGAGCATGGTATACTGCTCTTCTGGGCTTAGACAAGCTTAGATTGACTGAATTCTCAGAAAATGGAAATGTGGCCCTGCTTGGATTTAGCTCAAAATAGGCTTTGTGAATTTGTTCAAAACTTCGAATTGCGTGCCCGTTTCAATGACCTTTGCAAATTTTATCTTCCTTCTCTTTCTCGCATTATGAATTTGGTTAATGGGAAAATTCCCGATAGGTACTTGTACTTTAGGCTAGTGCCAATTTAGTATCCGAACTTTAAAACGCGACAGTCTAGTATCCGAATTTTTGAAATGTGATAATTTAGTACCTACCGTTAATGGACTGTCAGTTATGTATATCATGTGATCTCATGTGCGATTTAATATTTTTGGAAATGTCAAAATTACCTTTAAAATAAAACACTTTGTTCATTATCTTCTCACCAAAATAAAACATCCCAAGCTCTTAATAGTCTGGACGAAAACCCCAGAGTCTGCTTGCCGCTCGCTATCCTCCAAGAGCCCAAAATAAAGCGAAAAACCCAAACGTCTATCAGAGTCCGGATCTGCTACACCGTATGTAGATGATATGTTCCACTCTGACCTGTCCGATCATGTCCACTAATTCAACTAATTCAAACTAATTCAGCCCCAGCTGTAACTAACTTCCTAGTTTCTGCCCAACCCCTCTCCTCCCACGTGATGTCCATCTTAGCTTACTGCTGCTCTCCCTCTCTGCAACTTTAGCTCACTCTCAGATTCACAGATAACTCCTTCAGTTTTTCTTTTTGGGTGATCATGTCTATACGACGTACAGTATGGTCATACAATCTGTGTTTTAGCTCATTCAACCTTTCAAGCATAAATAAACAAGCAAAACCCAGATGACCCACCAGAACAATCTCTCTCTGCTGACCCAGAAGTTGACATTTATTATGATGATAATAGAGTTGATGCCAATGACGACGATGGCGGTGACGGTGAAGTCGATGTCGATGATGGGGATGTGGATGATGATGTTATTGGCTTAAATATGAACAATGCATGCCTCACCCAATACACTTCTGCTCTAACTTTATGAATGGCGATGGATTGATTACCTCTGAATTTCCAGTAAAGGTGTTTGACATGGATGGCTAGCTTCCCATCTACTTTATCTCCATTTCTGGATCGAATCCACCAACACAGCTGTTAGTATTGGCACTGCTGCTGCCGTTGTTAAATTCTATGGAGATCTCATGAAGCCTGCCTTTCTCATGAAATTTTACTCTTGAGATGAATTTCTTCTTGCCAAATATATGCTCCTTCTTTGATACCAAGCTGGGCTCAATTAGTGCTGGTCGGCACCCTATCTTTCTGTAGGCATCTTTTTTTAGATCATTGAGAAGCAATACAACCTTATCTTTGCAGGCAACGGCCACATAGTAATCGGACTGTGGCTCAGTCTCTCCATTGAACTTGACAGCGTTCAGGTCCCAAAAGACATCGACGGCTTTACCTTCCACCATAAATCGCTTGGAACCTTGCTTCCTCCAGAAGTACCATGGTTTGAGTTCAACTTTGCAGCGAGACGCAGAGGCCGTGGAGTAACAGATTCTTACACCATGTTACAGTGATCAGACGGCACTGACCGGCAATCTTTGTTTTGTATACTGACAGGAAGACGTTCTGACCTCCCCAAGGTTCTCTGTGATAATGTGATTATGACTTTCATAGGTTGGTTTTGATTTTAGCAGATAAGTTGATAAAGAAAATTAGATGATATTTTAAGGGCATTTTTGTCTTTTCACATGCTATTTAATGACTGGTTAACGACAGGTACCAGATTGTCATGTTTCGAAAGTTTGGGTATTAAATTGGCACTCGGCCTAAAGTACAAAGTACCTATCGGGAATTTTCCCCTTGGTTAATTACACAAATAATAATAATAATAATAATAATAATAATAATAATAATAATAATAATAATAATAATAATAATAACAATAATAATAATAATAATAATAATAATAATAATCATGTTTCGAAAGTTTGAGTATTAAATTGGCACTCGGCCTAAAGTACAAAGTTCCTATCGGGAATTTTTCCCTTGGTTAATTACACAAATAATAATAATAATAATAACAATAATAATAATAATAATAATAAGTTCCGAAACTTTGGATTTGGTGAATAATACTTGTTGCTTGTTTGTAGCAGAATTCACTTGCAAGTGGAATTGAACGAGATTTTAAACTCATCTTCCTTAATTGGGAGCTCTCCTACGTCATGTTCTATGGTAAGGCTCTTAACCAAAAAAAATGTTCTAACATATGGCCTTGGCTCGGCAAGACACGCATTTTCATCTACATCTCTAATATTTAGAGGTGTTCTCCAATGTGAATTGTTTAAAAAAAATAAAATAAAAACCTACTGATTTTGAAAACAAATTCGTTCTTGAAACAAAAACACAAAAACATCTTCTTAGATATGTGTGTGCTTTTTATTTTCAAAACTAAAACATAAAGAAGTGTATCCTTGAATTTCTAGTTTAAAGAATATGTATAAAACATATAAGAAGATCTGCTAATATTACTACTCATGCCTTAACTTATAATGCTTTTAAATATAACAAAATAGTAATATGCGGAAGGGAGCAAACTCCCTGTAATTCTATGTTAAATCTTTAGTGGAGCTTACTATTTTGCCAAAACAAAATATATTTTCATCAAATTATTTAATACCATGTTTCATAAATCATATAATTTTTGCACCACAACAGGTTTAAAGAATATTATTCCTTTTTTTTTTTCATTTGGGTCTCTGACCAAATCAACAGTTTTGACTGGCTACTAGACTTAAGGTTAACCCAAAGTGGAATTGTTACTAGGTAATAGTCAAATGGTTTGACCATCCATGTGGGCCGGGTAAATAATGGGTTGAAAACATGCTCTATTTTCAATTATTCATGGTTAGGTGTAGGAGGAGTCTGGATCTGCTCCTCACACCGACCTCACAGCATGTTCCAGTCGCATATTAGGAACATCTCCCATACTTGTATGTTCTTATTCATAGGAGATGTTCCCAATACATTGTGGAATGTAGCTGTGAGGTTGGTTTGAAGAGCATATTGTGAGGATCCCAATTCGTGTGGAAGGCTAATATAGTACGGTATTCAGTCCAACTGAATAAACATTTTAATATGTTGGTTTATGACAACCCATCTCAGTTTGTATTTCCCAAGATAGCATTATCGTAGAATTTTCATGTCTATCTATCATGATTCACATTTACCAAGTTAGTGTCAAAGTGGGATTTCCGAATTTGTCTTCAATTAAGACTTTTTTTTGAAAAAAAAAATAGTAGGATTTTAATAAGGAGTGTTCAATTAGATTATGATGTTTTTTTGTCGGAGGCATAAAGGTGTAAAGAAATTTATATAAAGAGTAGCTAGACCAAAGCTAGGGGAGTTTTTGTTGATTTTTCTTAAGTATTTAGTGAAGAATTGTTATTTTTCCTAATTTTCGACTTTGGTTCTTTTCTTTGAATGTAATTCATTTTCAAACTACACCAAAAGGCCTCCTTCGAGTTGGGAAAAGGGAATGAGTTACTGCTTACCATTCTTTTTTTTTCTACCAAAATTCATTAATCATTGAAGAAATGAGAGATTATATATACCTAGAGGGGAGATGTCTTAAAGATGATTACAAAAAGAGTCACGAAGAGAAATAACCAATGCATGAGAAATGATATTCTTAGTACAAGTAGCATGGACAAAAGAGACACTGTTGAAAAGCAGAATTGGTGGGCCAGTCAGTGGCTCACCGAATTTGCAAACAGTGGCCCACCGAACTGAGCCCACCACTTAATTGGTGGCACACAACATTAATCGATGACACACCATTTAAATCCACCGTTTGGGTTTTCTTAACAATGAAGACAATTTTTCATAATTCCCAATATACCCCTCTGCTCAAGTATAAATAGGGGTCCCTCTGTTATTTTTCATCCATTCCATTTCATTTCATTGTATAGTAAATACAGTGTGTTGAGAGGAGTGAAGCGTTGGGTGTATTGGGTGTTGGGTACGGGTGTGATTCTGGTGAGGTCATTTTTGTTTTTTCTCTTAGTGAGAAGGAAAGCTCCGAGCTGCTGCCCGTGGACATAGGCAATTTGGCCAAACCACGTTAAATCTGGTGTTCTCTCTTCTTTCTTTCTTTCTTGCTATCTGCTTTTGTTTCTTTCTATGCATATACAGATTACGCTATTCGCTATGCAATTCCAACAATTGGTATCAGACCATCATTGAAAATGTTGTAACCGATTCCGTCATGATTTGGCACAGATGTTTGGGTCATATAAGCAAGCAAGGACTTAAGGTATTTCTTGATCAAAATCTACTGATTTGAATTTCTGTGAAGATTGTTTATTTGGGAAACACCACAGAGCTAGTTTTCCCAAGTCTAAAGCTAGAAGTAGAGAGGTATTAGATCTAATAACTCTGATACGTGAGAAGCTACTACGGAATCTCATGGAAGTTCGTTATACTGCTCTTTTATTGATGATTTCTCTAGGAAAGTATGGGTGTATATGCTCCATAGGAAGAGTGATACTTTTTCCTATTTTAAGAAGTTCAAAGCTCTAGTTGAAAATCATAAAGGAAAAAGAATTAAGTGCCTGAGAACCAATAATGGAAATGAATATACCTCAAAAGAATTTGAAGATTTTTGCAGTGAGCACAGCATTTCGAGACAGTATATGGTTCCTCGAACTTGACAACAAAACGGAGTTGCTGAACGAATGAACCGTACACTTATGGATCAAGCTAGAAGTATGTTAAGTGCAGCTGGGCTGGAGCAGTGCTTTTGGGCAGAAGTAGTCAATA